CTCAAGTGAATGTAAACTCCAAGCAGATAGCAATATTTTAGTGAAATAAATCCACCTGTCTGCTCAGACTGGAACCTCTTTATTGTCTAGGAACACACACTCATGATTTAATAGCAGTGAAGTTTATGAGCGCTTCACACTGAACACTCACATCTCTGTAGTGCTCTTTCATTTGGTCAAAGTCTTCAGGGTTAAGTGTTTTCAACCCCTGCCTTCCATCAACCATTGTTGAAATTGCTTCACAGGAGACCCAGTTCCCTTCAGGTTCTAATCTCTTTAGATTCCCATGCATTTGGTTAAAAAGCTGCTAGCATTACTCAGCTCCAGGTAGAATATTTCTGTGCGATCTCGTCCCAGCCGACCCCCAATCCTCTAAGCCCTGGCTTTGTGGACTATTCTACTGCTTTTGCACAGATTTTCCATGTTTTTCTCAACTCTTCTGTCTGTCCACTGTTTCTGTCCTAGTAACATCTATTTTGTCCCTTTCTGTATTTTTCCCCTCACAGCCGTCTGCAGCAGTGTAAAGTCCTGTTATTCTAAGGGGACAGACGTGTCCATGTGGATCTGCTCTTCAGGCTTCCTGATAAAATCCAGTCCTATGTTCAGAGACGGACCGAACTCAGTGACTGGGTTTTGACCAGTTTGCTCAGAGGTTGACAACATGAAAGTCTCAGCTTTTCCTCATTTAATAAAACATCTCCATAGCATATCTTCACAATTTAAACAATCTGAAACTTCCCATCTTTAATTGCTTAATTCATCTTTTGGCTCCATAATGTCTACATAAGGTGACATTATGTAGAATAAAAGCATGAAGCAGGAAGGTGAAGTTCTGAGGTTGTGGGCCTTTTTCTCCTCTAAGGATCCTGGAAACCATCTTAGATATTATCAGTCATCATGAACTCTGGAAGAGATCTGTTTCCATGCCTGAACCCGTCAGAAAAGTTCTGAAGTGAGAAGAAGAAAACAGCTAGAACCAATTTTCTTTAAATGATGGTGTGGTGGTATATAGAGCAACAACAAGCTGCTGTCTGATCTATTGGTTATTCATGGTAAAACACTTTGAAGCAGAGTCTCATTGAATTGGCTCAATGATCTATAACAAGCTGAGTCCATTACTCAGATTAATTGGAAGAGTTCTTCTAGTGTTGGACAGATTCACAAACTAAACCGGTTTTCTTGTTTACCTGACAAATAACAGATTCATTGTTGTGTTCATGGCTTTGTCACCTCTTTTGACGACTCGGGTGTTTTCTGTATTTTCTTTTCTTTCAATCATTCCACTTTTTGTAATCTTACTTTTTTTTAATGTGTTCAAAAGTTCTGCTACACAGACAGTTCTGTGAAATCCCAGAACTAACGATGTGCCAATCAGACGTCCAGAGACCTGGGTTTTCTTTGAGCTGCTCTGATTGGTGATCAGCAGGTACAGTAATGACAATCATGTCACTTCAGCCTGAATTTCAATAGGCTATGACAGGGTTATTGTAATTTGACATGCTGCACTGTGCATGGAGGTGGAAATGGGAAAAGAGATGAGAGCAGATGAAGGTCACCTTAATCCTGTTTGGTTTGCTTTAAATGGATCAGAGTTTGTTTCCTCGGATTGTCCGCTTTGCTTGGGCGGGTTTGAAAGAATTCAAGATGGAACATAAACTGAGAGGAAACTGAAGAAAGGACACAGCAAATGACTTACTGTGGAAAATAAGAATCCTGTCCATACCTCGGCCCGGGTCGGTGCATCCGTCTCCAACGCTGGTTCAGCTCATGCTTTGGCAGATAGTTGCTGTAACCATGCATTGTGTGTGAGGGTGAACCAAACTGAACCAAATACTCCAGATTATCCCAAAGTGAAGTAAAAGCACAGGAATAACCGAACCATGTGACCTTTCAGTAAAGTCCATTTCTTCAATCAACTGCTGTTACATATGCAGCACAAATAAATACTCTTATTTTTTTAAACTTGTCTTTAATGTTTTTTAATTATAACATTTAAATGTAGTCGATATTTGGTTAAATCCTCCAGAAATCTGGACAGCAGAGCGAAGTTGGAGACTGATAGCAACACGCAGTCATTAGCTAGTTAATAGTTATACTATAGTTTTTAAAACATAACAGTTTAAAAACCAGTACTATTTTATTTTTCTTACAGGTGAAAAGTCTTTTTAATAATGGAGAGAGCTTCATCCATTTCTCCTCATCACAATTATTCCTATTTTTCTTATTTATTTGATAGAAAGTTGGTTGTTTGGGAACTAAAGGAGAAATGTTTATTACTGTTCTGAAGGTAATGAGTTTTTTAACATATAACAGATTAAACTAGAATCTTTATCTTCCGATGAACTGATACTCTGAAAATAAGGCTATAATATTCACACTTCCAAATTTTTCACGTCAGTCTGAACGCCCAATTCCAATCTCTACACCTATGAAACATCCAATTTGTTCCATTAGTGACACGACATCTGATACGCATCCGGTAGTTTTGTCTGAGTGGTCAAGTTGCATTTGATCCAACTTTTACTTCATCCAACTACAAATCCAACAGACACTCTGTCAATGCTCCATTTAGCTGTACTTTGTTTTTCATTAACTTCCTGCGTCGTTATGATCTCGTGACGCCGGCGGTGTCTGTTATTACTTCCGTTAGCAGATTGTTGCTGAGTAATCTCTACGTTCTTCCTCTGTGCATCATGGAACCGTTCACACAGAAGCCAGATTGTGGTCACGTTTCAGCAGAAGGTCATCAAGACCTGATGTGTGAGTGAGTTCAGCCTATTAGAGATAATATTCAGTGGGCATTTAGGCCATTCCTTTTATATCAGCATTGGTGGCTAAACCACCAATGCTAACCCACAGGATGTGCTGGAGAAGAGCAGATGTTGCGTCATCAACCATAATCCATGCGTCCTAAAGGGAGTTTTTCTCTCTCTAGTGGTAAAACACAAGCAGGCTTGCTGAGCTGCTCTCTGTCAGCAGGATATTCCTGGATTTACTTTTCGGACGGCTGGTTAAAGCTTTTCCTCTCTGCCTTTAGGCACCACTCAGCTGAAAGGAGACGATACTGAACACCAACAATGGCTGCTGCTTCACCAGGTTCTGCTTCTGTTCGACATCCTGCATTGAATTCAGTGAGAGTTAATATGCTGTCAGCGGATTACTGGAGGGAGGAAATGATGGCCTGTATGTGTTGCACTTTGGCCAGATTTAAAGCCAGTTTACCAGTTTATTCCTAAACCAAGTTGCTGTCAGTTTTTAACTTTTTTCCATGTCTGGACTTCATCTCAGCATGTTGCTGGGATTTTTAGTACATGCAGCTCATCAGTGCAGATTCAGCTTTCTGTGTCCATGATTCAGAAAAAGTAGTTTTCGTGAAAGTTTATTTCATGCAGTCGGTAGTTATTCAGGTTACAGTTATATATCATCCATCAGTTGATGTATTTTCATAATTCAATTCAAAAGGCGAAACATCAGTAATGTAGATGTGTTGCACTCAAATAGGGAATGCACTAATTCACTTTATTCACGTTTGATACCGATATCTGTGCTTTAATATCGTCTGATAGACTCTGATACTGGTTTAAAACTTTTGTTTCTCAAAAATGCAGACATAAATGTATTAAATTAATAATTTATTTGGCTACTCTGCACCAATACAGTTCATTTAAATACTCCAACGGCTAACAGCTGATGTAAAATATATAATAAAGAAAGTGACAAAAACAAAAGATTGACTTCTTTTTTAACTTTTTTTAACATATAAAAATAAGCTACAACTAACCTTTTTTAAAATTACTCATAAAGCGTAATTATTAGGAATCCTACAACTAATGCAAAAATAACTAATAAAGCAGGACATCGCTCAGAAGAGGGTAGAAATAGACGGAATAGATCTGCTCTCATAAATCAGATACATTATCACCAATAATGAGAATCGATGCAGATAATTATAGTGGATCATTGAATAATTATTGCAAATTATAGATAATGATCATTAGACATCCAGAATATTATAAATTATAGTGTGATAGTGTAGAAGCCTGGTGTTTGGACCACCAGGACGTTCCTGGAGGAGCTAGTTGTAATTTTACTCCTAAAAGTAATTGTTTTTTCAAAAGTTTCTGAAATGAGTAAACGTAACTTTTCACTCCCTCTTCAGCTGAGGTGTGAATACCACGACAGCAGAGCACAAATATAAAAATGTGACCATGAGGAATACACCTGTACTCAGAACGATAGGAGAATTTAATAAAAAACAGAATTAAATTAAAGCTCTGCTGAAATTAAAGACAGTCAGCTCTTTTTATTATTTTTGAAAGATCAGACAAAGAATAAGCATACTTAAAAATAGTCTTTGCTTTCTTGGACAAGGCAGTGATAAATAAACAAGGCATTGTTTTGTGAATATTTTGCTCTGACTGAATAAAATTAAACTTGTGTTGTTTGACATATTTACTTGGCCTGTGAAGCTGTTGGTGTATTTAAATGAGCTGTGTTGTGTCAGTGGTATTGACCAATATTTGAATCTGTGTTGGTAGTGAAGACAGTGGATCAGTTCATCCCTATAAATTGTTGAGGCATTTAAACTTCTGAAAAAACTATTTACAGAATTTTAGTGTAATATGAGACACCGTAGTATCATCTGCAGAATCTTCTGCTGGAATGAAATGACCCAATGGTGGTCCAAATGACCTGCATCCCTCAGACTAAACTCTGCTCATCTCCAGGACAAATACTTTAGCTTTTTCAGCCAAGTGTTTGTTTCATTTTGCTGATCTCATGTCTGACCCCTGAATCCCCTTATAGAAGGAAAATAGATGAACATGTATCGTCAAAGGAACAGAGATGTGCTTAATAAAGACACTGGCAGTGGAGAGGAGGAGCTCTGGTCTCACTGCCGCCGCTGCATTGGTTCTCCGCTCTGCAGTGGGGAGGGGCCGAGCGAGAGAGGGAGAGAGAGAGCGCGAGAGAGTGAGAGAGAGACTCCTGGGGGAGGAGGGCAGAGCTCTTGGTGGATGATAGGGAATGGCCGTGAGTTGCGTCTGCCGATAATAGCACATCAGCCAGAGCGCTGCTAGTGGGGCAGCAGAGCGCAGGCAGCGCAGAGGACTGAGCCGCTGAGCGCACAATGGTTCACCAGACAGAGAGCGTGAAGGGAGAGCGCATCCGCACATGTACAGGAGAGGAGGACTGAGCAGAAGCAGGGCAGCAGCAGGAGGAGGAGAAAAGTTACCCGGTCAGCAGCTGAGACTCACTTGGGTCTCAGTCCCAGTGGAGGAGCCAAGCACATCAATGAGCAGAGCAGGAGAAGAGTGATATTACAGCAGGGAGAGCTGCAACTTCTCAGAATCCAGTCCTGTCACAAGGCAAACAGGAGCCGCTGCACTGCTTACTCCAGGATTATCACAGGAAGGCAGAGGACTCTAACTGTGAACCTGCCCCCAAAGTGCCTCTGCTGCTCCATCCAACTCACTTCTGCAGGAGACCACCGGAAGGTGGATGTAGTTGGGTGCTGTTGTCTTTTTTTCCTTTTGTTCTAAACTGTGAAGCAGTAGAGATTTGAAGGGCAAGTACTTCTGTCTTATCTCTGGGACTATGTTAGTCTGTGCATCAGCAGCAGCAGCAGCAGCAGCAGGCGCTCTAGAGCATGGAGAAGTCCAGCAGTGAGGAGTCAGCCATTCATCGAAGTCCATCAGTAGATAGCCGGGATTCTGATTTTCCTCAAGCCTCCACGTCTGGTCGGCCGTTCGGCGGCCGCGGCTTCACAGCTGGTGCTTTCTACGGCTCCACGGGGCCGCGCAAAAACGCACAGCAGGGACCGGCTGGAGCGGCAGCCGACACCAGCGCCGCGGACAAGACCAACAAGTACAGCTCACCCAAAGGCAGCAAATACGTAGTCTTTTACCTGGACCTATCCTTTGTGTTCCTTCTAGAGTTCAAGAAGTGCAACATGGCGAGAGGCTGCTTGTGCTGCTTGAAGTATCTGATGTTCATCTTCAACCTCATCTTCTGGGTAAGTGGCTCATCATTTTCCTAATGTTTGTCTTGGCATACTGGCTCATATCGATCCACTTCATGGGGGCTGGATGATCTGAAAACTCAGCGTGTGAATGCAATATGAATCTAGGGAAACATTACTGTATGACAAAACGCTGGCTGTCGGGGCAATCACGCGTTTCTAATTACATCAGGGTGTTTATGCTTGTTCCATTCTGTGCAAGCTGCTATTCCTGGACGCAATGACAGAGTCAGTGGCAACACACCAGGTCTTCTTTTGTATTCTGTGGTGCTGATGGGGGGTGATCTGGGTCACTACTTCGGATGGGATTCAGAGCTAACTTATAGTTCCTCAGCAGTAGTTTCATGTTATTGAATCTGTTTCTTTTTTATTGTCAGCTGTAAATACACTCAGATGAAACTGAGAATTGTAATAAAACCCTGGAAGTGTAATGATTACAACGCAGTATCTGATTTTCCTTCTGACCGTTACGTTTACAGTAATGGTGGTAATAAATCTGAGCGTACCCGGTTTACTCACCCGTAGATTCCTCTCAGGATGCGGCAGGCTGAGCTGTGGGTAGCCATGCATGGGCATTTCTCATGAAAATGGTCATCCCTTCAGTGATTACTGGATGGATTATAAGGCTTATAGGTTATGAGGGTAAGTCTTTTGTGTGGATGCAGTGAAGCATGAAGCATTAAAAAACATCCCAACATGAAGGAGTCAATCAAGCCAGGCGGCCGTAACGCTGAGCTGGGAGTCCTGGTAACTGGGGCGCAAGGTGGCATGAGCCTGTGGACTGTCCAGTCTGACACACACACACACGCACGCACACACACACACACACACACACACACACACACACACACACACACACACACACACACAAAATGACTTTGTCAGTACAGATCTTCCCTTTTCATCTGGCTTTAGCTCGTTGCTCATGAAAGTTGTGTCCATTAATGAAATTTTGAAATATGCAAAATCAAAGTTTAAAAGTTTGAACTCATTACACAATAAAATCAAAGTATTCAGCTTAAATATGAGAATTTTAAGATATTTTTAAATACGAGTAGGAAAAAATCTGGACAGATATTGTCTGAGATCAGTGACTGGGAGACCTAATGAACCAGCACCCTACGGAGGGATTTAAAAGTGTAGTGGTTATTAATTCTGTTTTAAAGTTGCACTGTAAAATATCGTTAGAATTGTAAAACGTGTTCTACTCTTTGCTTTGTAAGGAGGGTCTGGACTCTCATCTATTGAAAAATGATTGCTTGCTGGAGGAGTTGACGTAATCTCAAACGTAATGCTCCAGTTCAAGTTATTGGAAATTGCCTGCAATGTCAGCAACCATCCTCCACTGCGAAGAGAAAAGTAGCGATCCGAACTTGTTTGGCTGTTGATGTTAATTGAACATTGGAGGCGTGGCCACATGGACTGCTCGGCTTTGGGCACTTCCTCTGCTGCCATTACTAAAATTAAAGGCACGCTACAACTCTAAGACATCGCAGAAAACCAACGTCATCATTCACAACTTCTCCTTCTGTTTGCTGATTGGCCTGGTTGAAGTTCTGCCCGAGAAATTGAACTCAGTGGAAGAAATCCCAGACGGAGAACTGAAGGGAGATGAGAATTGAGCTTAGGGAGGGAATGACCAGGCTGTAACAAATACAATGTGCTGCTCCAGTTCTGACCAGCATTATTATGTTGCTGCCCACAGCCAGCAGCTGTCCCATTTCTCCTAATACTTGTCACCAGTCGGTTTTGAATTAAGGAACCACATCATGACCATATAAATCATATTTATCTCCTCATAATCAGTCAGAATCACTCATTTTACAAATGATGGTTCAACTGCTCTGCAGTTTTTAAGTCTGTTTGGAGTTAGGTGCAACAACAAGTATCTACTTCATTTGGCTTAAACAAATAAAAAGAATCTTGTAAACTTGATGCAGACAAAAACATCCCAGGTGGTCTGGCTGTCGACTCCCTGCTCAACATACTGGTCAAACTGCGGCATGATTTGATCTCCCTCTCTGTTCTGTCTCCTTTTCCTTCAGTCAAAGGATCCTGTTGTTTCATAATCCTGGATATTTAGAGGACAAACTGAAAAATCTGATTTCCCTCCAGACCTCACCCACGTTCCTCACTAAAGTGATCTTTGAGGCAGAAGTGCCTCACAGAAAGAGGACATATCTTCTTTCTGTGTTGTTAAGAAGAAACCACTTAACAATCTGAAATATTTCTATTCAAATTGTGTTCTTTAAGAGCTCTTTTTGTACAATAAAAATACCAATAAATATAATCATCTTGGGCTCTTATCTTCTTTTCATATTGTGATTCTGTCCACAGAGGAAGAATCAAGAGTGATTGGCAAAGATGTAAAAATGACTCAGAGGCTCTTCGGTGTTTGTTTAAATGAAGGAGAAGGTCATAAAACCCCAGCTTGTGATAGATTCTTTATTCCAGATATTGACCTGCAATAAAAGTCTCAACAGGTTCCAGTTGAGTGCTTTGGTCTCAAGATGGCTGCTGTTTGCTGTAGAGATGAGATTTTCAGGCTGTTAGGTGATCAAGTAAGAGTTATTAGGTGTTTTTTGTTTTACTGAAAACTTAAATCAAAATTTTCTTACCTTTGGCAAATATATTACTTAAACTTATTAATTTGTAAATTACTTATAATCAGATATCTCAGCATAACTAACTTTCAGATGTTTGGTGCAGGGGGACAGCAGAGAGGAAAACTACCTTTTAACAGCAGAGCCCTGCTCAGTAGCTGCCATCTGCCTCAGCCGTCTGGAGGTTAAGAGGACAGGAAAGAGACACAGACAAACACAGATGGTGTTGGCACTGAAAACCTGCCAGGACAAAGAAGAAAGACCAAGTTAGGAAACATTAGTGTACGCTGGCATCGGGAGTAAAAGGGAATGTAAAGGCGCTCTGTGTCGGTAGCAACATTCCTGCAGGCACGACTCGATGTGGATTAGCAAAGACAATTTGATCTTTTTCCAACCATTAAACTGACATTGAGATTCACTTTTCCTTTAAGAGCCGGTCTCTTGAAATCTGTGGGGAGGCTTTTACTTAAACTTTTTCCAGACTCAGTTTGTGTTTAATGTGTCAGAACAGACATTAGATGTCATGGCCGGTGTCTCCAATTCTCATGTAGCTTGTTGGTCTTCAGAAAGATTCTTAAAGAATGTTGTTTACTTTGATCTGGGTGACCTGGCTGAGAAATGTACCACAATACAAGCATTTCTTATCAGTCGATATCAATAATTATTGATTACTTTTTTGTTGCAAATATCTGAAAAACTGCCAAATTAGTGACTTCACCTTTTCCTGTTCCTGCACTTTCCTCTTGAGCTGTTCGACTCATTATTTCCATTCTCTCCATGTCGTTGTTTTTTATTTTTAAGCAGTTATGAGGCACGAAGGCAAAACATGAAACTGCTGCTGCGCCAGCTACTCAACAAGTTGTTACTAGGTAACCAAAGAGTGAGTGAGTTGATGCCACCTGTGCCAAGCTGGCTGTGAGAGATTGAGTGACTAAAGCATTTCCTCTGCCTACATCCCCCAGAATGCTGTGCAGTTCTGATTCAGAGCTCAGTGAAATTATTGAACATTCTATTGGACGTATTATCTATTGATATTGATCACATGTCTATCGTGATACATATTGTTATTGATTTATTGACCAGCCCTACATTTACTCCAGACTGTTTGGTCGCTACACTGATGGCTTTAACCAGCACCAAATAATACGGTGTCTCGCCATCAATACGATTATCTGTAGCTGCTTACGGACTTCTAAAAATTCAAACTTTGGGGTCAGTGTGCGGGTTAGTGGAGCTTTAAGTAATGGGATCACTCCAAAGTTTGGGATCATGACAGGTCGCCTCGGACGAAGGGCAGGAGGGCAGGAGGTACGTTGTGTCTTGACACTCCTGGGATCGTGCTGTTCTACCTTTGGCACGTCAGAAATCACAAGGTTACTGAAGCTGGTAGAGAGCTGTTCCCCTTAATGTTCTGTCGTCTCGTGAAGATTGGAGACGGACGAGGGAACGATCCACAGCAGTAATCAGACACTGATGGTGCACACATGGACAAGCACGCTCGCTGGGCACACACAGCATGTTTACCACCCACACATCTACAGTTGCTTACACTAATAACCTGGAGGTAAACAGTAGCAGGCACTCGAGGCATTGCTGTACATGTGCTGATCTTCAGCCCCAGCAGCAGTTGTCCGTGACCATCTGGCTCCTCTTTCTTATGAGGGATTAGGAGAGTCTGAGCTGCAGGGGGTAGTTTGGGCCAGATTAGAGCGCTACTTGGTTGTGCGGCTGGGGATTGAGAGCACGGCTCCTTAGGACAGCTCAATGCTAAAGCCTACATCATCAAAGCAAAATGCCTTTGTGGTGTGACAAATAATGTGGTTGAGTGGGGACGAAGACCTGCTGTGCTCGCCTCTGAGTGTGTGTTAATAGTGTCTGTTGGAGCCGCCTGATAGGACCATTGATGTTCAGTCCTGCTGCTGCTAGCCTTGGGAGCATATCAGCGCTGGTGTTCTTGCTGGGAGCAAGGATTTCATTTTCCTATTGTGTAGTGCTTTCTCAGTAGTGCTTTCATTCTGAGCTCCCCAATTCAGAGTTCAGTTTACTGTGGAATAACAATGTTTTTACAGCTATTTATCTTTTGCTTTGGCTTTTTTTTAAATTAAAGAGGGCTTAAAAACTATGCTTAAAAATTTTGCTACCGAGTTGCTATCTCATAAAATCACCCACAAACTCTTTTTCTTTGTTGGAGATTAGTTGTGCAGCAGGCTAATGGCTCTGCCCCGGCTGTGCCATTATCCTGCCATATCAGAAGCTCACTTGATATTCATATTAAAAAGGAAAGTGTCGGTTCAGCAGTCTTGTCCTAGTAATACAAGAGGGATATAATCAAAGCATCTCCTTTGTTGCAGCAGGAAAAAGCAGATGTGTTTAGCATTCATGAATTCCTGT